GGGCTGTCAGGGCTCAGTGGAAGCGCCAGGATCAGTGCCGCTTTCCAGCTGATTGGTGCTTCAGGGCTGTCAGGGCTCAGTGGAAGCGCCAGGATCAGCGCCAGGCTCCAGCTGGAGCTCGGCGCTGATCCTGGTGCTTCTGCTGAGCCCTGAAGAAGCACCAATCAGCTGGAAAGCAGCACTGATCCTGGCGCTTCTGCTGAGCCCAGAAGAAGCGCCAATCAGCTGGAATGTTGCAGCATCTCCAGGGTCTGGTGATTTACATTCAGATGCTTGGCAACTGATTCATATTTATGACAGTTAGTGTCCCAGGGTCATGTGAAGTGACCAAAACCTGCTGCAACCACCCAGAAGACAGGGGGAATAAAAACCAAACACCCCCACCCCACCCCCGCTGCCAATCCTCAACAGAAATGCTCACAACAATGAAAACCTCGGACAGGAGGAAGAGCGCGGCCGAGCAGGCAGGCAGGTGTCTTGCTCGGCTGTGGCTTGGGGGGGCACTTTTTTCAGTGCCATTGTAACTTTGAACAGTCACTAAGTGAACTGTTGTAAGTCGAGGACTACCTGTACTTTATCACTTTTTTTTCTTTTTTTTGGTCATCAAGTTTTTGATACCTTGCTAGGCGACTGGTGGTACTCGGATATTGCCATATCCTAAAAGTGGTACAATGGGTGAAAAGATTGAAAAGCCCTGACCTAGTCCACGCTCAAAGCTGTCAATGCATGATGCAATAAATCTTGTTTTTTTTCATTTGGCTTGTTGCAGAGTCTGAGATTGATTAGAGCTGAGAGGGAATGAGTGGTCCAAGTTCATCCAGTGGATTTCTGTGCACAAAGTCCCTCCAACTTCCAGTCCAGCACTATACTACATTAGCTCTTTCTCACTTTATGTTGTGATATTGTTATACTAAAATAAGCCACATGCTTGTTATTTCATCACACCAACTCAACTTCTTCAGTCAAATGCAATTTGCGGCAATATATGTGGGAATACAGCTCTGCCAATTCAACATAAGGGTGATACTCCAGTCCTGGGTGCCTCATTCAGGCAGAGTAGGAATTTATGTGGACAGAACAGGAACAATTTCTGGTGGTGAGCCTGCTTTGTATGTGTAATTTTTTTAAAAAAAAATCTGTGACCCTGTCCTCAAAATTTGCTTATGGTTTCCCAGAGCATCATGACCTACAGCTTGTAAATTTCAACTCTAATCAGCTCTCAATTGTATCATATACAAAGAAAGAAAGCCCTCACCTTCAGATAAATAAAGTTTCCAACCTTTATATGGAGCATCTTGGTCCAGAGTAGTTTGAATAAGATGAGGTTGTGCTGAAAAGTATCCCCTCAAATAGTCAGTGATAAAATTGAGCATTTTTAATTTGTTATTAAAAATAATTTATATACATGTTGCAGCTGCAAATAACATCTAAAATAATAAAGATAATAATTGCCTGTACACAGGTACAACCTGATCATAAGATTCAGCTTTAAAACTTTCATCTAAATTATAGCATAGTAATCCAGACTTCAGGCATTGTATTATGCTATTATAAGCGTTTTTTTCCCCCCAGAAACTTAATTTTTTTTAAGTCTCCAAAGCAAATAAGGTCATGCAGGGATGTGCCTGAGATATTTGGAATGACTTTGATTGAAACATTCTAGGTCTTTTCATTGAAACAATATCATTGGTGGCGCCCCCTACCTTTTGGAATTATGCCCCTCCCCATACAGTTGGCCCTCCAGGAAGGCCAAGGAAAGCAGCCAAGGATAAGCAAAGTTCCCAACTGGTTGAGTTCAAATATATTTTATTTTTGACTGCCATTTCATTGTTTTAACTGTGTGAGAAGGCTTTAATGGTATGCATTGTTTTCCTGTTTTAGGTGACTTTTGTACACTGCTCAGAGTCATCCTTCTTGACTTGGGCAATCATATGAAGGCTATAAATATAGCTGTGGAATTAACATACCCGATGCTAATTTCTCGCCAGCATTTTTCCAGTTTTCTCTCTGTCCACTTCCTTTTCCTCTCCCTTGCCATCTTCCTCTTCTCCATCTTTGAAAACCCCCTCCTCCTCGTGCAGAACCTTTCCTGCTAGGCTCAGTACTCATCTTGGCATTTTAACAGATCTGCATTCTGAAGTAATTAAAAGACAATAGATGTGTAGCATACATTAATGTTGGAAGTAGTTATTAAGGCAGACATCCATTTGTTTCTATGGTGGTGTTTGTACATTATTTTAAGTAGCCGTTTACTTCAGGTTCCTGACCTCTAGCCCCTCCACATGCCCCAAAGGTAAATACCCGGCTAAGTCTGTAAATCAAACTAAACCCTGGTTTAACTATTTTTTATTGAATAAATCATAGTTACTTTTGGACAATGTTTTACACTTTTGTTTACAAATGACAAACGATAAGATTCACACAATGTATCAGGCCCAAACCAAATCATATTATTATGGATAAGCTTATATATGAATCTTAAGGTGACCAATCGTCCTCCTTTAGGGAGGACAGTCCTTCTTTTGTAAGTTCTGTCCTCTCTCGAAAAGTGTCCTCCTACATCTCCTCCTTTTCAATATTTGAAGACTAATCTCTAAATCTCCGTATTCGATCGATGCCAATCCGATCTGTAGCGTGTGGTGTGACGTATTTGTATTTGACATGACGATTCGTCAAGGCTCGGTACAGTGCGGCGAGACACGATTATGAGACACATGCGCTCCGCACAGGAGAATTGTTTTGAGAGAGTGCGCCGCACGCAAGTGGCTTTGTTTACTTCTTACCAAAACACGACATGGCACACACGCACGCATTAGACTCACTTTTTTTTCTTCAATTTGTGTCCTCTTTCTCATTGTAAAAAAGTTGGTCACCTTATGAATCTTCAATATCGAGTTATCATTTCCAGGCATTAACTGGGCCACGAAGGTCCCTTCCAACTTTATTATTATTATTATTATTATTATTATTACTACTACTACTACTACTATTATTATTTAGAAAATTTCAATTCCCTGACTCCCGTTAACTACTGTAGAAAGTTAGACTGATTTAGAGGAACTTCAGGTGTGAGCTAATGTGGTAAACCCATGATTCTTGGAATTGAATCCAATAGACACAACACAAAAAAACTATCCAAATACATGTATTACAAATCTATCTAGGACTCAATTAATACAGCCGGGGTTACTTTCAAATAAATTTTGATATCACTGCACCAACCATACCCTTTCACTGCAAGCGCAAAATCATTTTTTTAAAAAAACAGTATACATGTAATTCAGGGGTCTTCCAACTTGGCCCTTTTATGACTTGTGGACTTCAACTCCCAGAATTCCTCAGCCAGACACGCTGGCTGAGGAATTCTGGGAGTTGAAGTCCACAAGTCATAAAAGGGCCAAGTTGGAAAAACCCGATGTTAACTATTCAAAGAAAACATCGATTAAAACTGCTACTAATCAGAGGACCCCTTCTTTCCTTCCCAAGCACACTCCATGGAGTCAACAATTTTTAAAAAGGAATGTAACCCAATTATCGATGAAGCTGGTCAACCTGTATCTGGCGCCCGCAACTTCAGACTAAATGTACCCCTCATATAGTTCGGCGTTCCTCCATTTGAGTGAAACGTAAAAGAAATCTTCGGCCATTCCGCGGGGAAACTCGGCTAGATTTTTGTCTCTCGAACGCTTCGCTTTGGAGGTTCAAAGTCTCAGTTACCGCTGAATGCAGCAGAGAGAAAGACGTGAAAAGGTATCCGACCGAAAGCCGACTTGCCACAACGCCCCAAAGCGTCCCCGGTCGCCCGCACCTGAATCTCCTCCCCGTCGGTTCCCTTCGTTTTGTTTCGCTCTTCCATTTAATTTTGGCGCGGCGCAGCAAAGCCTCCCTCGGCGCTCGGAACCAATCAGAAATGACGCCGCTGCGCTTGCCGCGATTTCCGTAAGCGGGAAAAGGCAAGTCACGTGGGGCTCTTAACGTCCCTATCCCCGTCTTTCCCCCACCTCGGCGACTTTAAGGGATGTGGAACTTCAACTCCCAGAATTCCGTAGTACACAATGAGAATTATGGAGAATTCTGGCAGTTGAAGTCCATATCACCCTTTAAAGTTGCCGAAGTTGGGAAGCAGTTGCGTGCAGACGTCTTATTGATAAGGACGAAAGGAGTTGCTTCTCACGTGCTTTTCCTGCCTCTGTTGCTGGAGAAAGACTT